CTAGAACCACGAGGCTCGAGGGATGCCTAATACCTTCCCCTCGGTCAACAGAATTCCTTACCCGAATTTCTAGTTCGCAAACCAAATAAAGAGTCATTTCCTTTTGATTAGTGATTAAATAAAAGGTGACTTGGAACACCATAACTCAATTCCAAGTGGCGACTCTGAATCAATTAAAATAATCACTAATCAATACTATTGCTTAAATTGGAAAAACCCTCCACCGTGCGTGAAAAGGGATGTGACAAGGGTTTTGAGAGAAGAGAAAAAAAGAGGAGAAAGGAGAAGAGAAGCAAGGAAATCGTCAAGTTCTTGAAGAATTGCTTGTGGATTTCATCAAGGAGTGATCCCTACGAGGTATGTGAGATCACATATAGTTGGATTAGTTCACCCAAGCGCCAATCATGATTTAATTCAGCATAATTGTATTCTTTTGAAAGATAAGATTATGAGTTCTTGATGAAATTCATTTAAGTTCTTATGGGTTTTTGTTGTTGAAGTTTCTTGAGTTTAATTCATGAGCTTAGGTGTATTTTTGGTTAGAATCTTACATATATTGAGGATATAGTCGATTCTAAGTGTTTGAGAAAATAACCAAGTGAAATTAGAGGGTTTAGAGTTGAAAAACGAAGAAGAAAATTTAGGATTTTCTGGGGAGGGGGCTGGGGCGCCGCGCCTCTCAGAGCTCCCTAAAAGAGTTTCTGATATTTGGCCTCTGGGGTGCCGCGCCAGCCAGAGCACCCCAAAGGAGTTTCTGAAATTTGATCTCTGGGGCGCCTCGCCAGCCAGAGCTCCCCAAGCCACTGTCTGAAGTTTCAAGGCTGGCACCCCGCGCCTCTCAGAGCGCCAGGGATGCCAGTTCTTCCACCTTTTCCCACTTCTTTCTGTACTAGTTCCCTAGCAACGTACCTAAGTTTTATAGTTGATTTCTACACTCTAAGGTACGTCTAAACATCATGAAATCATCTATAAATATGAGATCATGAGCCTTGAATCCATACTTCAATTCAAGGAAAGTTAAGAGTCAAGTCAAGATGAGTTTAAAGAGTTTTCCAAAGTCTTTCACAAACGTTTTAACTTTGTTTTAAGACTTGAGTTTTGAGTTGAGAAAAGGGTAAAGATTTAAGTTCACTTCTTCAAAATATTATAAGGGAACTAAGTATTCCCAAGAGTTAAAATCTTTTCACATTTAAATAAGAAAGGAAACACCGATTTTCAAGAAGCTTTCAAGCTAGTTTTTGAGTAATTATCTCAAATCCCAGAAAGAGTTTTGTTTTTACAAACATATAAGTTGAGTATATTTTGGGAGTAATATTGAGCACCGATATGGCGACGTGTTCATAATAACTCAAGTCTCCATAAACCATGTAGCCATCATGGGTAGAAATGGTCATACATTTTAGATGACACTTTAGTGCTTTTTAGCATAGACTAGTGGATGCACTTAGTTGAGGCGTTCTATATCATGGCAAGGTATAGGACAGTTCTGGCAGCGTGGGCGAGACGTTGTATCATCACTTAGGCTCATAGTGGTGGTTGTCGGTTAGAGAAACTCCCACAATATTATATTACTTTATTATATTAGTAAACTGAGTTGCTATTGCATATCTTTAATATATTGAGTTATCACCTATTGTTTTAAATGCTTTGTATAAAATGCACCATTATTGTTGTTTTCACCTTGCATTTGAGTTGAGTATTCATGAATTGAGTAAAGTCAAGGTAAGTGTTCTTTTCAGATTTCTTTCAAGCTTATGTCATGTTTAGTTTTCCCCTCGCATGCTCGTACATTCAATGTACTGATGTCATTTGACCTACATCGTTTTATGATGCACACACAGGTAACTAGGATCAACATCCAGCGCCTCGTTGATCCAATTGAGAACTCAAAGTAAGTTGGTGAGCCTCCTTGCTTCCGGAGGATTCCCTTTTTCTATTGTTTTGATTAGTCAGTTGTTAGGATGGGGGTCTTGTCCTGACATCCCTCTTAGTTTCTAGAGGCTTCATAGACAGTTAGTTATAAGTTCTTTAGTCTTGTATTTCAGATGTTTTGATATAAGACTTAAGTAGCCATTTTGGCTAATTTGAATGTTTATCCTTAAATGTTCTAAGTTTATTTGAGGCAGTTGTTTTTAAAGTGCATTTGAATCCTTGTATTAATGCTTTAGTCTGCTGCTATGAGTTAAGCTAGGCCAAGGTTTCGCTTGGGCCCAGCAATGGTTCTCAAGTGTCAGTCCCGCCCAGGGTGTAGCTCGGGGCGTAACATAAAGTTCAAAACTGAATTTAATGTTCCTTTAAGTTTTTAAATAGTTTATTTGTGGGTAAATCGGGTGGGTTAAATAGGTTATGGGCGGGTATTTGAAATTTGGGTTAAATAATTTGTCAATCCGGGTTGAGGCGTAGGATTGCGCCATGTGTACAAAATGAGTGTTCCGTTAGTGGGAGGGGCAAATGTGCACTAGTTATTGGACGGCAAGGACTCTAATTAATAGACGAAAAGTATGACGAAGGGTATCTGCATACCATTTTCCAAAGTTCGGGGGTATATTTATCCTTTTTCCCTAGTTATTTTTTCTTTTAAACACATCTTCTTGATTAAAATATTATTAAAGAACCATGCTCTTGTTCTCTATCTTTTAAAATCACTTTAACAAATAAAAATGTATGAAATGTTTTTTTCTTCTTAATTTTATTTTATCAATTAAAATAGAATAATTTCATGTACCCTTTTCACATATAATATATGTCATATATAAAATATCATAATATATCCATCATTAATTTATATTTATATTACGATAAAAATAATTATAAAAAAATAAGAAAAATTTTCATTTTTATTTAATTGAAGTAAGATAAACATCTGCTAATTTTAAAAAAAATATTATTAGAAAAAAGAATCTGTTAAAAATAAAATAAATAATATATTCATTTGGAAAATGAGCATTTTTTTACCCATTAAATAACAATAACGGCATTTTTAGACCAAAGTATTGACAATAAAAGCATTTTTGGACCAAACTACAAACGGATGCATTTTTGTTCCTAAGGACATTTTTGACCTTTCTCCTAAAATCTATTCCAATTAAATACTTCACTGCTCTGGCAAGGAGCTTCTTGGCTCGGTGAACCGGAGCAACTAACGCCACAACATTCTTTATAGGTTGGTGCTTTCTTTTTTTCTACTTGATATTGTGCATAATGTAAGAATGAGTAAATTCATGAATTTGGGGATGCATATTTTATAGAGTTTGACCGCACTAAATATGATTTAGTGGTCAATAAAATGATTGTGAACCCTGAGGTTTCATATTCAAAACTCAAAGGAAACATTAGAAAACAATAGGTGATTCTTCAATATGTTCTAGCCTTGGTGGACAGAATTATGTGGTAGTTGTTATTGGTGAGAGGTGGCAAATTTCTGTGACATTAGTTGAGATGTGCGAAAGCTGACCTTGACACTACGGTCATGGAAATGTTCATAGGGAATGTTTATGAAAAATACATGACATTGAGGAGTAATTATTTTGCTCCAATTTATAGGACATACTTTCATTTTTGTTAACATCTTTCTCTTCTTTCTTTTTTAATTAACTACAATTATTGTTGATTCTTCTTTTAAAAAAAGAATTGATTCTTTTTATTCACTAGGACCCATATATAGTTTTTTGTGAAGTCAAGTTGTCTACTTTTGGTGATAAAGAAAGCCATTAACATAATTTACAATTAGTTTAAGGAGAGAGTCATCTGATTCACATTTTTTTTAAGGAATTTCCTAATTCCTTCTATTAAAGTTGGAAGGAAATCCTAATAATTCTAATTTATAGTGGAGTAGATCATCACAATTTGTTAAATATAACTCAAATACCTTAATTGTTACTGCATTTGTCCTTTAGCCTTTCACACTGGAGTATAGTGACTATGAGTTCACAATTTTACATTATACAAAACGTCAAAATTTAAAATAAAAACCGTATTCCTCGTAATTTCTCTTTGTGTTGAACTTGTATAGTTCTTTCTATATATGTTAGTTATTATTCTTTCTATTTTATGAGCGTTCTTTAAAGTTATATTATTGTCGTATCATGTCAAACTATTCGAGAAGTTATATTTGTTTTATAAGCATTTTCTTGTTAGTTAAGCCGAAAATCGAACCATTAAGGATCAAAATCGATAAAAAATATCTTATTGATTTAGCATATTTAAAAATCGAAAACCGAATCAATAATACATAAAACTGAACTGAACCGACTGATGCACAACCCTACCTAAAATGCCACTATGTATTAACAACAAACATAACCGAATTTCGAACACCATGACACGTGGCAAAATTAGATGTCCACGTCACTTACCAGTCCCACCAAATTAATTGGTGCTTTCTTTTTTCTACTTTATTATGTGCATAATGTAAGAATGAGTCTCATATGGAGTAAATTCATGAATTTGGGGATGAATATTTCATAGAGTTTGAGCACTCGGGTATGGCCTAATTATCAATGAAGTGAATGAGAATCCTAAGATTTCAAGTTTAAAACTCTATGGAGACATAGAAAATACTTGGTGATTCATCTCATTTGTCCTAACTTTAATGCACATAGTTGCCTAGTACCTATTACTGGTGGGAGTTGACAGATATTTCGTAGAATTAGTCGAGATGAGGGAAAACTTGGCTAGACACCACAGTCATTAATAGATATTTTATAGAGTTTGAGTAAATTACACAATGTGTTGCTAGGGAATGTTTATGAAAAATACATGAAATCGAGGAGTAATATACTCTCGCCCTGTTCCAATTTATATGACATACTATTTTTTTTTAAACATAAAATCATTGATTCTTTGTTTTCACTAGGACCCATAGTATTTTTTGAAGTAAAGTTGTCTGCTTTCGGTGACAAAGAAAGTCATTAACATAATTTACCATTAGTTTAAGGAGAGGGCCATCTGATTCACTTTATGCTCTTTTTTTAAAAAGAAATTTCCTAATTGCTTTTATTAATTAAACTTGGAAGAAACTCCTAATAATTCTAATTAATAGTAGAGTAGATCTATCACGATTTGTGCTTCTTTTTTTTCCAGACGTACAATTTAATCCATGGAATCTTCTTCCTCCTTTGCGAGTAATTCACAGTACCGTCCTCGATGGAAGTACGTTGTGTTTCTAAGTTTTAGAGGCGAAGATACCCAGAGAAATTTTACAAGTCACTTGTATGCGGGTTTGAAAAACAGGGAAATATTCACCTTTCTAGATGATAAAAGGATAGGGAATGGCGATTCCATCTCAGAAGAACTCGTGAAAGCTATAGAAGACTCTCAAGTTGCTGTAATCGTTTTCTCAAAGAATTATGCTACTTCTAGGTGGTGCTTGAATGAACTAGTGAAGATCATGGAATGCAAGGAGAAAGAAAATGGACAAACAGTCATACCGATCTTCTATGATGTGGATCCATCAGATGTTCGAAAACAAAGTGGGAGCTTCACAGAAGCATTTTGTAGACATGAATTAGAGTATATGGATGATGTTGAGGGGATGCAGAAGGTGAAAGGATGGAGAACTGCCCTAACTGCTGCCGCAGATCTAAAATGATTTGATATCCGTGGCAGGTGAGTTTAAAACATATAATTGCTTTTAATGAAAAAAATTAACAGTATGTAGTTATTTAATATGCCCCTGAACATTAAAAGTATGAAATACTCACTAATACTTGACTTCCTCACATGGTCCACAATCAATCTTCTTATTTATGTAGGATTGAATCAAAGCAAATTCAGCAGATCGTCGACCACATCTCTTCTAAATTTTGCAAGAGTGTTCATTCTTTATCTTTTTTCGCAAGATGTAGTGGGAACAAATTCTCATTTAGAGAAACTAAAATCTTGACTTCAAATAGAAATCAATGATGTTCGGATTGTAGGGATCTGGGGAATAGGTGGAGTCGGTAAAACGACAATAGCAAAAGCCATCTTTGATACTCTATCTTATCAATTTAAAGTTGCTTGTTTTCTTGCGGATGTTAAAGAAAATGCAAGAAATAATCAACTGCATTCTTTAATTACAAAATACCCTTCTTTCTCAACTGTTAAGAAAAAAAGAAGATTACATCAATAATAAGTATGATGGGAAGTGCATGATTTTGGGCAGACTTTGTTCTATGAAGGTGCTGATTCTGCTTGATGACATAGATCATGGTGATCATTTGGAGTATTTAGCAGGTGATCTTGGTTGGTTTGGTAATGGCAACAGAGTTATTGTAACAACTAGAAATAGACATTTGATAGATAAGGATCATGCAATATATGAATTGCCTACACTACCTGATCATGAAGCTATGCAATTGTTCAATAAGCATGCTTTTAAAAATGAAGTTCCAGATGAGCGTTTTAAGAAGTTCTCATTAGAGGTAGTAAATCACGCTAAAGGCCTTCCTTTAGCCCTCAAGGTATGGGGTTCTTTGTTGTATAAAAAATGCCTAACTCAATGGACAAGCACGGTAGATCAAATAAAGAAAAATTCTAGTTTAGAAATTGTTAAAAAGTTCAAAGTAAGTTATGATGGGTTAGAGCTTGAAGAGCAAAATTTATTTTTATATATAGCATTTCTCTTAAGAGGGAAGAAAAAAAACTAGTCATGCAAATCCTTGAGAGTTGTGATTTTGGAGCGGAGCACGGATTGAATGTCCTAATTGACAAATCTCTTGTGTTCGTCTCCAAAAATAATATGATTAAAATACATGACTTAATTCAAGATATGGGTAGATATGTGGTTAGAATGCAAAAAGATTCAGGAGAGCAGAGCAGACTATGGGATGTTGAAGATATCGAAAAAGTGATGGTCAACAATACTGTAAGTAGCCTAAACAATGCAATACTATTCAATTTTTAGTCTTCATCTTTTACTTTTTATTTAAAAGATGAAAATAGTTGGTACTATCTCAATTACAACTTCGTTCTATCACAACATGAATAACTTTTCGATTTGACTCTAAAGAACTTGTCAAAAATTGTATTACTTGAAATTAGAAATACAAAATTAATTGCATAAAGTATTTCTCTTTAGCGACATCTTTCTTTAACTAATATTGAACCTTAAATTTGATTCAATGAGAGTGAGATATTTTGGATTTATTTCTAATGCGTTAAGGATATTTTTGACCTTTTACGTTTCTTATTACACTTTTATTTAGTTTCTCAACATGTAATTTTGATTTAAAATAAATTAAAACAATTGATAATTTCACACAAAATATCGTGTTAGACTCTCATAATCTGAATGGTGTTACTCATTTTTCGTGTAAGGGAAGAAATTAAACACAAAAGTTATTTGTTTATCCTAGACAGCATTCTCATTCTTTCTGTGTTCTGACTAACAGTATTTGCCGTCTCTGCAAAAGCTAAATCTCAGCTACTCCGAAAGGCTGATGCAAACACCAGATTTCACGGGAATGCCAAATTTGGAGTATTTGGATCTGTCGAACTGTAGTAATCTTGAAGAGGTTCCACGTTCCTTGGGATGTTTAAGAAAACTCATTTGGTTAAATTTGTATCATTGTGAATGTCTTACGAGTTTTCCATGTGTTAATGTGGAACCTCTTAGATTTCTGGATCTACGATATTGCTCTAGTTTAGAAAAATTTCCAGAAATCCTCGGAAGAATGAAGCCATAGTTAGAGATCAAGATGAGCTGCTCTGGACTAAGGGAAATACCATCATCTATTATTGAGCAACGCACGCTAAAGATGAGTTCTATGCAAAACCTTGTTTGTCTTCCAAGCAGCATTTGTAAGTTGAAAGGTTTGGTGAAGCTAAATTTGTGGGCGTGCTCAAAACTTGAAAGTTTGCCAGAAGAGCTAGGTGAGAAAAATTGGAGAAGCTTGATGCCAACTTTACTCTAATCTCACAACCTCCGTCTTCCATTGTCCAGTTGAACAAGCTAAAAATGCTGACTTTTGCAAAGAAAAAATCAGAAGCTAGAGTGTACATTGTGTTCCCTCGGGTGAATGAAGGGTTATTCTCATTGAAGCATCTGGATCTTAGTGTTAATAGATGGAGGACTTCCAGAAGACGTTGGATCCTTATCCTCTTTGGAAATGTTGAATATCAGTGGTAATAATTTTGAGCATTTTCCTCGAAGCATGGTCCAACTTGGTGCTCTTCAATACTTGGACTTATCATATTGCAAGAGGCTCAAAGAGTTGCCAGGTTTCATGGGGATGCAAAACTTGGAGACTTTGGATCTCTCTCACTGCAATTTAATAGATGGAGGACTTGTCAAAGACATTGGATGCTTATCCTCTTTGAAAGTGTTGGATCTCAGTGGAAATAATTTTGAGCATTTGCCTCAAAGGATAGCCCAGCTTGGTGCTCTTCAAAACTTGGACTTATCAGATTGCAAGAGGCTTACACAGCTTCCAGAATTTCCACAGCAATTAGATACAATACGTGCAGATTGGAGTAATCATTTGATTTGTAATTCGTTGTTTCAGAATATCTCATCATTGCAGAATGACATCTCTGATTCACATTCCTTGTCACTAAGAGTGTTTACGAGTTGCGCGAATAATATCCCAAGTTGGTTCCACCATCAAGGAATGGATACAAGGGTATCGATCAGTCAATATGCCTGAGAATTGGTATGTATCGGATAACTTCTTGGGATTTGCTGTATGTTACTCTGGCAAATTAATTGACATCAGAGCTCAGTTGATTCCCTTATGTGTTGATGGGAAGTTGTCAATGCCCCAAAAACTTGCCTTATCTAACCATTCAGAGTGTCTTCAAGAATCTAAGATACATTTTTTCTTGGTACCTATTGCCTGCTTGTGATGCGTCTAATGCGAATGGTAAAACACCAAATGACTATGAGATTATTAGTTTTATTTTTTTGGAGAAATGAAGCTTTTTGGACTTCGATTGTTGTATAAAGATGAATCTGAGCTTCACATTGGGATAAGGAGGAGCAGATATGAACATCATGAAGACACCACCAGTTGCTCTTATAAGAAACAAAGGTCACAAGAAGTGCCAGTCTCTTCAAAAACACAAGCCCGGGATTTTAGATTTAATGTACGTATACACCTCATGAAATTGTGTTCTCTCATTATATATAAATTATTTCTTCCCCTATTGGCAGGAGCTCATCAATGTGTGTTGTACATATCAACAGTTAGTTTGATTCTCCACCTTGTGTCGAGCCATCATTAATCAGACATTCTCTGTCTTTGCTGTGTTATATTTTCCCAAGATAGTGACTGATCCATGGTGAAGTTGAGGTTCAAAATTTCTTTTGGACTAGAATACCTAGCTAGTTTAATAATGAAATGAATCCACAGTTTTGCTTTTGCTGACCAATTGCAGATGAATGTACTCAAAGCAAGAAACCTTTGCCAAAAGTGGATGGGTGAAAGAAGGCATTGGAACTTTTAGCAAGCGGACTAAAGGGAATCCAAATGTAGTCTCTATTGATGTCTACTGTCAAATGTACACACACTGTTTGATTTTTTTATCAAACAGTTGTGCGACATAATAGAGATTTAGAATTAGAGTTTGCAAATGAGATTATTTGTTAGTATTTCCTTTGTTCAAATTGGTCAATCGGAATCTAAACTTCTTTGGCATTTCTGTGTCATATCATATTTGAGTGTCAATACCCTGTCGCTGCCAAAAGTGGCATACTTCTCAACTTAATATGTACCATCATTCCTTCAAATACTTGGCACTCTGTATGTATATTAAACAATCCTTCTATTTATGTTATTATTCTTATATAAATGAAGGTCTTCAGATACGTTGGAGTTGTGGATGTGTCACCAGAAAAGGGGTCATCGAGCTGCAAAGATATAGGGTGTCTTTGCTACGGTTTTCCAATTTTCTCATGCTTTAATGTTTGGAAATTGGAATGGTTATCGGGGTATTGTCCTAGTTTGGCTGTAGGGGTCGGGTACTAGATCAATTATCGGGGTTGATTCGGATCATAAATTATTTTCCTAAAGAGTATATTTTAGTCTCAAGCCAAAAAATAAAAAAATATTTTTCATTCATCAACCAAACATTAAAAAATATTTTCCAGAAAATATTTTCTACTCACCAACCAAAAATGAGAAAATAAGTTAGAAATTCACTTATTATTCAAGAAAACATTTTTCATGGAAAACATTTTCCTTCATACCAAACACACCCATAGTATGTAACATTACACATTTGCACAACTCTAAGCATTGGATAACATAATTACATTCACAACTTAAAGATATGCAAACTCTTTTAGTGCGTGGTTGGGTGCTCAAGTATTCTATGTGATGAATCTTGAAGAATTTGATAATCATAAGGATGAATAAGAAGGAAGAAGATGAATTCTTAGACTCGTAAGAGAGAATAGAGTAAGGTATTGAGTTGTTTAGTATTGCACATAGATGAGACCGAAAGGAGATTCTATGAACTGATGCTATGAGATCGAAAGAAGATTAGTGTCATTAATGATGACTCAGCCTATCCATGAATGTTCATCACTATAGAGCAACACAATTACCCCTATGTGATATCGATTTCCAATCCCCACACCCCCAGATTACTTGTTAGTACTTATATGATTTTCTGAAAGTCTAGTTTAATGGTGACTATTGATAACCAAACCTTTATGTAAATTTGGTGGAATCATCCACCAACTTGTTCTTATTACTACAAATATGACTATACATTCTAAGTTTTTGATAGAATTCTCCACGCTATTGTAACATCCGGCAATACGAAATAATTGAAGAGGCTTAGAATTGGGAATTTTCATTTTTGGAAAGAATTTTAAAGTTTTGGAAATTTTGGCTAAGTATGGAAAATGTGAATTTTTGGCCAACTTTGAACA